TGTTTATTTCTGGACTCTCAATTCTATCCTATTAATCTATATATGTCTATCCTTATGCAAGTGCCACACTGTTTTGAATATTGTAGCTTTGTAGTAGGTTTTGAAATTAGAAAGTGTGAATCCTCTCACTTTGTTCTTCTTTTCAAGATTGCTTTGGCTATTCTGTATCCCTGTATTCCCATATAAACTTTAGGAACAGCTTGTCCACCTCAGCAGAAAAAAGGCATCTCGGGATCCCTGGGTGGCGCAGCGGTTTGGCGCCTGCCTTTGGCCCAGGGCGCGATCTGGAGACTCCGGATCGAATCCCACGTCGGGCTCCCGGTGCATGGAGCCTGCTTCTCCCTCTGCCTATGTCTCTGCCTCTCTCTCTCTCTCTCTCTCTCTCTGTGTGTGTGTGACTATCATAAAATAAAATAAAAAAAAATTTAAAAAAAAAAAAAAAAGAAAAAAGGCATCTGGGATTTTGACAGGGATTTTATTGAATGTATATGTCAATTGGGGAAGTATTAACACCTTAATAATATTGTTTTCCAGTCCATAAAGATGGATTGTCTTTCCATTTATTTAACACTTTAATTCCTTTTAATGAGGTTTTGCAGCTTTCATTGTACAAGTCTTTTTTTTATTAAATTTACATACAAGTCATTCTTTTTTGAATTTTGTATATTGAGTCATATCCTACATCATTGCTAAATTTGCTTGTTCTAATAGTTTATAGGATCTTTAGGAGTTTCTATATACAAGATCATGTCCTCTGCAAAGGGAGAGGATTTACTTCTTCCTTTCTAATTCAGATGCCTTTTGTTTTTCTTATCTAATTGCTCTGGCTAGAAACCTGCAACACAAAGTTGAATAGAATCAGTGTGCATTTGGTGTGACCAGATGACTTCTTCAAACTTCAATTTTCTTCTCTGTACAATGAATGGGAAAAATAGTATCTATTTCTTAGGGGGTGTTAAGAAGAATGTTGGAAGATATGCTCTCCAGGCTTGGCACTTAATGACTGTTCCACACATGTATAAGTTGTTCCTTTTCCTTCAATTATCTCCTCTACTATAGTATTTTGAGCTCCCATTTCTATATCACTTACCATGTTCCTATCTCAACATTCTTGCTAGACAGTCTTCAAGCACCTCCCCCCACACTGGGGACTGATATTATTTATTAATTCATTGATTTATTTAATTTCAGGATATATGGCACACAATGTTACATCAGTGCCAGGTATACAAGACAGTGATTCCACAACTCCATACCTCATGCTCTGCTTGTCACAGGTGCACCTGCCATCTGTTACCATGCAACATTATTACAATATTATTGACTATCTTCCCTATGCTGTACCTTTTATTTCTTGTGACTCGTTCATTTCATAACTGGAAGCTTGGACCTGCCACTCCTCCTCACCCATTTTGTCCATCCATCTGCCCTCCTCCCTTCTGGAAACCATCAGTTTTTTCTCAGTATATATAGGGCTGATTCTCTGCTTTTTGTTTGCTTATTCATTTGTTGTGTTTTAGATTCCACATATAAGTGGAATCATATGGATTGTCAGACAGTCTCTGACTTATTTCACTTAGCAGAATACCCTCTAGGTCCACCTGTATTGTTACAAATGGTAAGATCTCATCCTTTATTATAATATTACATTGTGTGCGTGTACATGTGTGTATGTATATATTTTTTAAAATTCATCTATCCATGGACAGGGGCTGCTAGGGTATTAGAAATAATGGGGTAATATACAGAGAAGTGCATATATCTTTTCAAATTCGTGTTTTCATTTTCTTTGGGTAAATACCTAGCAGTGGAATTATTAGACCATATGGTATATCTATTTTCAAAGTTTTGAGGAACCTCCATACTGTTTTCCATAGTGACTACACCAATCACAGTCTTCAAGATGAACTAATGCTGGCTTCCTCTGAAGATGCCAGGGCAGTCTATCAAATCTTAGTGTATCTAATCATTTAGGATACTTATTTAAGATGCAGATTCCAGGGCTCTACCTCAAAAGATTGCTATTACATATATGTGTCTGGGTGTGGCCCAGGAATGTACAGTGTCAACAGGTACCCCCAGCTATGCTGAATGAGATGGTCAAGGACCACAGTGATGATCCTACAAAAGCTTACTTTAGAAACCCTAGAGCTGCATTTTCTTCAAACTTGGACCTGTACAAAGACAGCAAACCTAGTTTTCCAGGTCCCCAGGGAGCCTCAGACTGAGCTGACCCAGAAACCTGACACAAGTTCATCACCCATGCTTCTTGTTTCTGGTTTTTGGCGATGGACATATCCATTTCCCTCTGTTAACCCTCTGGATCTTCCTCATTCCTGGTCCAAAAGGTTCAAGTCAGGCTGATATTCTTCCTCCCCACCCCCAACTCAAGTCAATAAAGATCAGCTCCCAGAACGTTTACTAAAACAAAGGAGAGGAAGGCTTTTCCCTTCAGGGAACCTAAGGCTGGAGTTGACTAGGCTAGTTTCACAGAAGATGGAGAGCCTAATGAAAATGAAACAGTAGAGATGGTGGCCCTGTGACTTCATTAGGCCTCTGGAGTTCTTGGTAATATGAGTTACTCTTCCCTTTTTGAAAGTGTCAGTTGGAGTAGAAATTTCTTCTTACCGCTGGAAGTTCTAACATGCAGAATCAACCCCTAAAATGGACCCCTTGACATCACTCTGTCTCTCCTCTTCTCCCACTACTTCTCTGCCCAAATTCCCCCTCACTGGGCTGTCCCAAAAAATTCCCTTGCACTCCACCTTCCTCATAAAATGCACCTGCTTGTCACAATGGAACACAAGTTTCCCATGTCCCCATAAGCAGGGGTACTTGCTGTTTAGGGCCAGGTCTAGCCCACTTTTCTTCCACCCTTTGGGGCAAAAATCCTTCTCTTTCGAGAGTCATGTTATAGAGCACACTGTTCATTACTGATTTCCTGATTACTTAATTCACTTAGGACTCTGACACCTGTTTTATAGTCTCCTCTTCCACCTCTGGCGTCATTCCAGAGGGATTTCACCATTCCATTTAACAGCCTGTAATCATGGCTCATATAGCATCTACTGTGTATCAGGCATAGTTCTAAGCAGCTTACATATATTTAAGTTCACTCAGCCCTTATAACAGCATGAAGTGTTATTAGCTCCATTTTATAGAGGAGGAAACTGAAGCACAGAAAGACTATTTAGACTTTTCTAGAGTTACCCAGCTACTAAGTGGCAGAGTGGGAATGAGAACAAGGATTCTAAATTGCAGAGTCTGGGCTCTTAACCTACGTGCCAGCCTCCGGGCTCCCTATTCTCTGGAATTGTAGCATCCCCCATAGGCATTCTGTATCGATCCTGCGAAGGTGGGAGGCAGTCAGTATCTCCTCTGGGTCACTCTATACCTGGAAGGTCTGTGAAGAGGAGATGTCAGCTGAGCATGGTTTGGATGGCCACTGAAGGCCTGTACCTCCCTCCCCTTTCTACAGCACATGATTTTGAGTCATCTTCCATGTAAATGTACCCACTAATAAGATAAGCCCTGAAACTAGTGTGTAGGTTGGGAAGACACAGCAGCAGAAAAGCAGGTTATATATTCTGTCCTGGTACCCCATAAAACCTTTTTTCTGCCCCAATAGTCTTTATACTCTGTGGGAAACTTGCTGCATTCAGGCCACCCCTCAGAACGGGACCCTCGTCCGTGGTCTTACTCATGGGCCCTGTGCTCCTCAACCCTGCAGGCACGATGGGTTCAAACCCCTGGTTTTCTTCCTTCCTCTGTTTGCAAGAGCTGGCAGAAGGAAGGCAGGGGGTTAGTGTCACCATCCCAACAAACACACCTAGAGGTAGCTCCACCCAGAGCTGCTCCCCCGCTGAAAATTCCTGCTCAGACCCCCACCCCAACACCTCCATCTCCAAGCCTCCGTTCCTCTCTCCAGCTCAAAGCCTCTGCCACCTTCACCTCCTGCCGCTGATGGGCCCTCCCGAGGCCTTCACAATGCCTACCAACCTACCAGACCCAACCTGCAACACGCATCCCTGGATCAACACCTCTGTTCCGGGTTCTACCAGTAGTAGAAAAAACTCACACAAATGTGTGTACTGGCGCCATTCTAAATATAAGGTCGCCAAGAGCAGCATTACCCGCCCCCCCCAAACAAGGACACCAAGCAGGCCTAATTAGTACTCACACCAGCTTTGATTATAACTATCGGGTACTTGCTATGGTACCAAAACAGTGTCCTAATCGCTTCACAAGCACTTCATTTCATCCTCAAGACACCCCTGGCATGAATTAGAGACCAGCAAGATCCCCATTTTACAGACAGGAACACTGAGGCATCGGGAGGTCGGGACCGCTCGCGGCCGCACCTGCACCAGTGGAGCCGCACGTACCCCGCCCCCCCAGGCAGGTGCCTGCAGGTCAGGAGCCCAGCCCGTTTCCTGCCCTCTCCCACGCACTAGAGTGCAGTGTCACGCCGGGGCAGCGGCGGTTCCAACGGTGAAAGTAAAAGAAAAGGAAAGAGGGCAGAGAAGAGAGCCGTCGCGATAAGCTCCAGCGAAGAGGCATTTCCTGGTCATCGTTACTCAGCACTTTGTGGGGTTTGCGGGGCCGGCGGGGGGCGGGGAGGGGGAGGAGTGTGGCGGACCTTTCCGAGGAATCCGGCCCTAGCTGAGCTCATCCGCCCCTTCTCGCCCGTGGGGCGTTCGGTTACGGCCGATCCCCTCCCGGGTGGCCCCGGGGCTCTGGGGGACCCGCCCCCCGCACAGCGCGCCCCGCAGGCGCCCCCGCGCACCCCGCTCCCAGCCGCTGCGCGGGCGGGCGGGGCCGCGGGCTCCGAGCCTGGGCCGCTCCCGGTAGCCCCGCCCCGCGCCCGCGGCAACCCCGCCCCCCGGAGGCCCCGCCCCCGGAGGCCCCGCCCCCGCCCGGCGTCTCCGCGGTTCCGGAAGGCGGGGCCTGGCCGGGGCTCCGAGCGGGCGCGCCCCCGCCACACGCACGCCGCGCGCGCCCGCCCGCCCCGCCCCCAGTCGCTATAAAGGGAAGGCGGGCTGCGTCCCCGGCAGGCCCCGGCCGGCGCTCGGCACCCGCTCGCTCCGTCTCGCGCCGCTCGTCAGCCGCCAGCCGCCAGCCGCCAAAATGGTGAAGCAGATCGAGAGCAAGGTACGCGGCCTCCGTCGCCGGCCGGGGGCGAGGGCGAGGGCGAGGGCGGGGGCGGGCAGGCGCTCCTCGCTGCCCGGGGAGGGGACGCCGGGGCCTGGGCGCGCCTGGGGCGGCCGAGCGTGCCCCGCGGGGAGGGAGCCGGGCGCTGGATGCCGCGGCTGTCGTGGCCAGGGCGCCGAGGGCCCCCCGCTCCTGCACCCCGTGCTCGGGAGGCCCGGTTGGCCGCGGGGATGGAGACGGGCCGGGCCGGGCGCTGGATGCCCGGGCTGCCCGTGGCCAAGGCGCCAGGGGCCCCCCCCCGCTCCTCCTGCACCCCGTGCTCCCGCGGCCCGGATGCCGGGGCTGCCCGTGCCCCCCCCCCGCTCCTGCTGCACCCCCGTGCTCGGGAGACCCAGTGGGCCGCGGGGATGGGGCCGGGCCGAGCGCTGGATGCCGGGGCTGCCCGTGCCCCCCCCCGCTCCTGCTGCACCCCGTGCTCCCGCGGCCCGGATGCCGGGCTGCCCGTGGCCCCCCCCCCCGCTCCTGCTGCACCCCCGTGCTCGGGAGACCAGTGGGCCGCGGGGATGGGGCCGGGCCGGGCGCTGGATGCCGGGGCTGCCCGTGGCCAGGGCGCCGAGCCCCCCCAGCCCGCTCCTGTTGCACCCCGTGCTCGGGAGGCCCGGTTGGCCGCCGGGGTGAGGCGGGGCGGGGCCGGGCGCTGGAGGGCGCGTTGGGGGCGGCGGGCGGGCGGCGCGTCCCGGCGGCAGCCCCGCGGCCTCCTGCAGTGCGCGGGCCCAGGTGGCGGCGGGGAAGCGCGGCGGGCCGCGCCCTGGGGCTCCTCCTCGGCGGCGCTGGGCGTGTTTCCGGCGGCGCTGGCGGGGGGATGACTCAGGGCGCGGGGCTGGGGCTGGGGCTGGGGCTGGGGCTGGGGCTGGGCCCGGCCGGTCGGGGGCGCCGCGTGCTCGGGGCCCGGGCGGCAGGTGCGCGCCCCCGACGGTGCTGGCCCCCCGGGGAGACCCTCGAGAGCGGGGAGCGGTTACCTGGCGGCCCCTCCCCTCCCATCCCGGCCCTCGCCCGCCTTGAGCGTCTGGACGGGAGACGCTGGGTGGCTTCGGAAACGCGACTTGCCCTGTAGGGTGCCTGCCTCACCGTTTTGTTGACCCCTATACTCAGCAAGCCTGTATGATCGTTGTAGAAAACTGAGCGCAGCCGAGATCTTGTTTCCTACGAGCAAGTCCTAAGTGGTTGGTTATTTTCCGTATCCTGTTTTGTCCCTGAGCCTCCCCCCACCCCCACCCCCACCCCCACCCCCAGTTTAGCCTGAACCCTTTTTTGTGTAGTTGGAAGGTTTGGAATCCATGCAGTACCTGAACGTGTTGCTGGACATTTGGGCGGTTTTCAGTGCCTCGGTGAATGTTTTCGTTCATGCCCCCTTGCACAGAGTTCAGGCGTGCTTCCTCACGTTAGGGTCCAGTGCAGTGACGGGGTCAAGGGGTGTGAATCTTTTATTTAAGGCTTATAAGTGCCCAAGAAGCATACATAGGAGAGTGCTCTGCCCCTCCACCCTCATCGACACTGACCTTTCCCCCTCTAACTTTGGCCAAATCATCAGTAGGAAAAATTGTACCTCCTTTGATTATTAGTGACTCTGAACTCACCCCGCCCCATTTGTTGATGGATTAATTACCATTTGTTATCTGCTTGTCCTGAGTTTTTTTCCTATTGACGTTTTATTATTATTGTGTGAGCTTTTATATTAAAATTAGCAACCCTGTCATTTGTTGGAGAGGTCACTAATACAGAATTTTGTTCCCCCTGCTTTTATTCAGTACCCACTGAGTGACAAATCAGTCTGGGTGTGTTTGGGGGTGTGTTCCCCAGGCTCTGACCTCTTCATCAGTAAACCCAACAGGTGAGAACCCATAAAGGAGGGAGAAGACTTGGAGTGGTTTACAGTCGTTGTCTCAGTGCATACCTACAAACAAAATCGGTTGATTCCTGGAACACATCTATCAGTTTTTCCATATCTTAGTTGTCATACTTTTGGCATCCTCCTCCCCTCATCAAGGAGAAGACATACAGGGGTGACCAGAAGTTGGTTACACACAAAAAAAAAAACCCACTACAGCCTGGAGCGCAAAGACCCCGATCATTCAGCTGATCTTCAAAATTAATGTTCCAGAGACGTTAATCAAAAGTTAAGCTCGTTTCAGTGTTACTTGCAAATGTTGAATACACTTTAGATTTTCATCCTGCTGGACTAGAGTTGGTGCCGTTGGCCATCCAGGACAGCTGTCTCTGAGGTGCCATAGTTCAGAACCACTGGTATCTTCTATTTGAGATACAAGTGGGATAACGGACTGTCCATGTGGTTTGGAAGAAATCACACCGTTGTGTGTTATTTTTAAGAGTAGTAGCTGCCCGTTTGTTGAACTCCTACCCTCTATACATGGGCACTCCCATGCTTGTTAATTATCTTTGGAATGGGTCTGTTTAGGAAAAGACACTCTAGACTCTGCTCTCATCTGCCCCAAATATTTTGCTTTTGGAATATTTAGCTCCATAATGAGGACCTTTATTAATGTTCATTGTTCATCTCTGGGAGTTAGACGTTGTGGTTTGCATCTTGGTGAGATAATCTTGAGTTACTCATTCAAACCGATGTCTCTTTTAGACAAACTTAAGTATCAGGAGAAGAGAATTGGTTGTGACGTCTAACTCTTCAGTTAAGCCAAAAGTTGCTGCGTGCCTCTCTTCTTTTCAGAATTTTAGGTAGCTTTGCTTGAATTTGATTCAGAATTGTTTGGGAAACCCTTGAGTGTTTGTATACTATTTTGTTTTGAAAGTAATTTCACCAAGTATTTACGGAGGGCCTGCTATGTTCACAAAACAGTGCATTCGTGTGACAGTAGCATTCCTGGATGTGTGTGTGTGTGTGTGTGTGTGTGTGTCTGACCTGGTTCTTGCAGAAAAGAATGGCTGGTTTGACCTTTAAAAAAAAAAAAAATCACATAAAAGCCCTAAGTTAAATTCATTTGGAAAAACTGGTGATAGTTTGGGAAAATGAATTTCTATAACTCTAACCTGTTCTTTTCCTCTCCTACCCGCTTCCCCATCCCACCCCTGCCCCCATGTTTTCTCCCCACACCCCAAAGGTGGGATGGGAGATTATGTGTGAATAACTGAAAAAGTTAGAGGTCATGACCTGGAAATACCACTTGTGAATTGTTTCTCCAAAAAACATGAGGTCGAAATTAGAAATCTAGGAAAGTAACTGTACCGCAGAGGAATTCACTTAAGGTTTTTTTTTTTTTTTTTTTTTTTTTTTTTAATGGTGTTTCCTTTACTGGATCAGATCTGATAGGATTCTTAGCTTTCAAGGGAGGAGAATGTTAGTTTTTAATTAAACCAATGTGACTAGCATTTTCCCCTTGACGGAAAACCCAGACTTCAGATACAGATAGTTATGTTGTGATTGCTGTGTTGCCCCAGTTTTTGGTAAGCACTGACTAAATTGGGGTTCAAAGGGAGTCCCTTTTAACTAGAAGGTTAGGTTCCTACGGTTACAGTATCAAAACCATTGGTAAATTATTCAGGGGAATTGGTGGTGAGGGATTTCTTGATGCCATCTCACTGGTGGAATTTTTTTGACATTTCTAATGCAAAATAACCTCTGAGGAAAGGTCCCTGCACAAGGAACTAAAGCTATCCTTTGGTCACTAATTTGAGATAAAGGGCAGACATAAACAGAATGATCTCATCTCTTGAAACTCCATTAAGGAGAGTACGAGGAAATAGGCTTAATGTCAACAGTGACTCCTCTGAGTGGAAGTTTATTTTCCTTGATATTTTTAAAGCCTTTGACATATTCCATCATAGACAATCCAAAAAAAGAGCTTTCAACCCTGGTTTTCATTGCAAAATTCTGTGCCTTGGTGACTTACTCAGTTGAAGTGAGGTCTTCGTCAGTGCAGGAGCATTTAGCACATGTTTATCATATACCCAGATTTGATGTGCAAACCTAATAGGTCTTTATTTTCATGCGCTCAGTTTGAATATAGGTTGATGAAGACACGACTATTGACGCACACTCTATACATCATACTTGTTTCATCTTATTAAGTAACGCTACACACTCTAGGATTTTTTTAAAGCAGTTTATTTGGTTCATTTCAGTTTATTAAATTTTTATAAAGCAGTACGTTTGAATCATTCTTTGCGTCGCATTCTATCAAGTTTGATCAGGACTTTGGGAAATTTAACCTGTGCTTTTCTTTTTCCTCTTAGTATGCTTTTCAGGAAGCCTTGAACAGTGCTGGGGATAAACTTGTAGTAGTTGACTTCTCAGCCACGTGGTGTGGACCTTGCAAAATGATCAAGCCTTTCTTTCATGTGAGTATGAAACCAGTTGCTTTAGAAGAGATTCTAGGTTCCTCGGGTTGGTAGTGGCAAAGCTAGGAAAGGACAGAGTGTTATTAGTCTAAAGGTAATAGTGTAACAACTTAAAGGGCATCTGGTGGGCTTAGTCCTTAGAACATGGGACTCTTCATTTTGAGGTTATGAATTTGAACCCCATATCCGGTATAGAGATTACTTAAAATCTTTTAAAGTAGTAGTGTGACAACTTAATTTTGACACATGTGTAGCCCATGGAAGACAACTGTCAGAACTTAGTTTGGTTGTCTTAAATGGATTTTCTTTTTCTTCAGGTTGAAACCCAGATCCTATTTGAAATTCTAGGCCCCACTTTCTTTTATGCTAGGAGGAATTTGACTCACAGAGACTATAGGTTCCTGTGCTTACCTGGTCCCTAGTCTGAATTTTTGAATCTTAATAAGAGTAGAAACTACTAATTTAAGTTTCTGTTTAGGAACCTACCCAGTTCTAAATCTGGATTTTTTCATTTTAAATCTTCTAGTCCCTCTCTGAGAAGTATTCTAACGTGGTGTTCCTTGAAGTAGACGTGGATGACTGTCAGGTATGTGGCTGGAAATTTGGACTACTACTGAGCTTTTCTCATTGGACCTTATTCTCTGAAATGCAAGTGTTTGTTTTCTTACTATAGCCCTAGCCAAAAAAGGGTAACATACCAGTTATGAGCTTAACCCTAGCTATCAGGAGCTGTGTACATCACATCCTAGAAGAAACCTAAAAACAAATGGTTGAGGCTTCTGTACCTTACCTGTCACCTTTCTGCAAGTTTATATATTCATTTGATTATGATAACTAAATCCATAGACTTAAAAACTAGGAGACCACTTTGAAGATTCTCTGTGAACTAGTGACATGAGAAAGTAGTCACTTGCTTGCTTTTAGTCAATTAGAAAATCCAGTGTTTTCAAGAACAAATACCAAGGTGCTTGATGGAGAGGAGAGAAAGGGGAGGGGGTGGATTTGAGGAGTGATTGAATTTTACAAATGCTTGTTTAGGCCAGTTTTATAAGTACTGATGCATTTAATCCTTGGTGCTAGCCATCCCCGTTTTTACAGAGGAGAAAAAGAACTCGTCTAGGGAGTTACTGTTAGTAGTGGCAGTTGAAATTTCAAAGAAGTTCTCTGACCTCCCAGCCCTTGCTCTCAACCAGCGTACCTCAGAGGAGGCTCTGGCATAGGGTGGGTACAGATCCAGCTCCTGGCATAAGATTTGCTTCTCATACAGCCCACTGTACTAGGATAGCTTGTTCCATGTTCAAGAACAACACCTAGGAGTTCTTTACAGATACGTGAACATTTTTCCCTTAGTCCCCGTGGGGCAGGAGGGTCTTAGGGTATGATGTGGCAAAAAGGGTGCTCACCTGGGTTCCAGGCCTGGCTTGGGGACTTGTGCTCTAGCTAACCTTTCTTCTTCCTTGAGCTTTGGTTCTTTAGCACCAGATCTTAATACCTGACCCATCAACTTCCTAGGGTGGCTTATTTATTGAGCAAACAGAGAATGTTTAATAAAGGTACTGAAAGGTTTATAGGAATAGGTACATGGCAGTACTTTCTAAACCTGTGAGGGCCTACCATCAACAAATTGTTTTTTCCTAGCACATTTTCTGATTTGACACTCTGCCTTTACAGGTCGGGGGTCATCTCTACCTGGAACTTTCTTTTCTTTCATACCTCCCAAACTCCTAGCTGTAAGCTTCACATCTTCTCCAGGAACCTTCCTCTACCCAGACTAGGTTAGTTTCCTTTCCTTGATGGCTCCAGGTCTTCCTCTGCCCCTCTTTTACTCTTGTATTTATGGTAATAGAATGGGGAGGATCCCATACCTAGATTGCCTGTTTTCGTTTCCAGTTGCATCCCTTATCTTCCTTGCCTCAGTTTGAGCCTCTAAAATGGCAGTGTTCATCCATCATAAAAGAGGTGTCAGGATTACATGAGAAGGATACCCAGCAAGTGCTTAGAGTAGTGCCCGGGCCATGTTCAGTGAACCTTAGCTAGTATTACAATCTTGTCTGTCCTTTACCGTTAGTTTCTTGGGACCAGAGGCCCGCTCTCATTTACCTGACTGGCCTGTAGTAGGTCTAGAATGAATTTATTCTATAAGGTAAAGTGATTGTTCTGAGGTGTCCCAGAGTTTTACGAAAATCAGAATAGATAGCAGCGGGTGATTATGAATAAACCCTTACTCTAAATCTAAACCTAATTCTATATGGTCACTTTAGCCAGGTGAAAGTGGCACCTGGAAGGGATTTTAAAGATTTTATTTATTCATTTAGAGAGAGCAAGAGAGAGGCAGAGACACAGGCAGGGGCAGAAGCAGGCCCCATGCAGGAAGCCCGATGCGGGACTCGATCCCGGGTCTCCAGGATCACACCCTGGGCTGCAGGCGGTACTAAACCGCTGCGCCACCGGGGCTGCCCTCTCTTTAAGTTTTTATTGGGAAGTAATAACAGGTGCTAGATGCTGTGCTAGGCTCCCTGCTTGCATTAGGTCCTTTAATCCTCAGGCGGCTTTGGTAAGTTCTCATTAGTACCACGCTGGAACCGATCATGGGACTGCAGCACAACAGGAGGGGTAGGTCAGTGGACACAGAGTCTGCAAGGGTTGACCCTTGCCCTTGGCCAGACCAAGGACAGGTGCTCTCATTGCCTGAGTCAGAAACCTTGGGGGAAGGAGATGTGCAGATTAAGCCAAGGACTTGCGGGCGGCAGCGCTCCTTCCGGTCAGATTAGCATGCACACCCTTAAGGTTTCTAGACCTTGGAGTGACCCTCTCACAACTGGGAGACCCTTTACTTTGCCCCCGGAATTGAGCAACATACACGGTTTTACTTTGACTGCCTGTAATGATCCTATTACGACACTGTCTAAATGGCCTCATGGACCTGTCATGGAGTTAAAAATTGAACTACTTCCAGAACCCCGTGTCACACAGTGCCTGTCAGCTCCTACTCACCTGGCCATTCTGAATTACCCTCCTGGCTAAGTCTATCAAAAAGCAGTTCATTAAACAGTCAGGTGGTGGTTTTTTCCTCAAGGAATTTGCAGCTCTGGGTAAGACCATCCCCTCATTTTGACTCTAAAATAGGATAAAAGTTATGTCAGTCACGTTTCTCAGTATTATATCCTTAATAGGTGAAACTTTTAATGACTAGTTTCAAGTTTCTGTGCAAATAATTCCTACTGATGAATTTCAGACTTTATAGTGTCATTGGCGTAAGCCACATGTAATTTTAATAGGCCCTAAGCACTTGGGCAAGAAAAAGTTACCTTTTAGGTGTAATAGATTTAAACAGTTAGACATGAACATATAATGTGGTACAAAATATTCTTAGTGTATTCATAGAAAAGTAGGAGGGGTGCCTAGGTGGTAGGTGGCTCAGTAGGTTAAGTGTCTGCCTTCAGCTCAGGTCATGCTCTTGGAGTTCTGGGATGGAGTTCCCCCAGCAGGCTCCCCACAGGACAGGGAGCCTCTCCTTCTCCCTGGCCCCTTTCCGCCCTCCCCGCTGCTTGAGTTCGCTCTCAAAATCTTTTCTAAATATTTTTAAAAAGAAGGAAGCCCTTTTGAAAATGGTAGACTTGATTATAGTCTCAACTCTGTACAGTGTAGGATACTTATTTTGTAAAATTTAGACCTGGTAGTTGTAGAAGCATTTAGAACTGTGTGTGTTTTGATTAGAGGGGTTAATAGAAGTGACAAAACCAGGTGTTTACCGTGGAAGGAGCCTCGGTGTCCATCGAAAGATGAATGGATAAAGAAGATGTGGTTTATGTATACAATGGAATATTACTCAGCCATTAGAAACGACAAATACCCACCATTTGCTTCAACGTGGATGGAACTGGAGGGTATTATGCTGAGTGAAGTAAGTCAATCGAAGAAGGACAAACAGTGTATGTTCTCATTCATTTGGGGAATATGAATAATAGTGAAAGGGAATATAAGGGAAGGGAGAAGAAATGTGTGGGAAATATCCGAAAGGGAGACAGAGCATAAAGACTCCTAACTCTGGGAAATGAACTAGGGGTGGTGGAAGGGGAGGAGGGCAGGGGGTGGGGGTGAATGGGTGACGGGCACTGAGGGGGACACTTGACGGGATGAGCACTGGGTGTTATTCTGTACGTTGGTAAATTGAACACCAATAAAAAATTAATTTATTAAAAAAATAGTTGTATGGAGTGGTAAGCTAGAAACCAATGAAATTAAATTTAGTAAGGTAAAAAGTAGTCTCATTATACTTATTTAAAAAAATCAAATTGAGCTAAACTATAGGGATGGAGAAGTGAGGAAAGTGAGAAACCTTAAAATTTAGTTACCATTAAGTACAGATACCTTTAGAGTCCCTCTAGGAATATGGAGATTAGTCCATAGAACAAGTAGTAGAAAGCAAAACATTAAGATCAAATGCTAGGTAGGAACCAAAACTTTACTGAAGTCTATAAAAGATCTTAGTAGACAGGTGCACTGTATTCCTGAAAAGTGACTCAGTAATACTAAAGTGTCAGTACTCCCAAGTTGGATGCAATCTTAATCTGACATTTTGGGGCCTTGGCTTGTACGATTTCAGAATGTCAGGAAGGTCCTAGAAAGTATAAGAACAAACATGACCTTGGAAAGAAATTGTGGGGGGATGAGAAAGGTCAAACCCCATAATAAAGATACAGTGTGGTCTTGTAACCAGAATAGGCAAGTATACCCATGGAATGGAAAGTCAAAAAAAAAAATTCTCTTTAGAAGACCTTTAAACAAAAATCTTAGAAAATATTGAACATACTTAGAGAAATGAGGGACACTGTTAAGTACATTAACCACCCTGGTTCTTGTAGTTTCTTCCTCTTGCCACTGAGGAAATGGGCCTGGAAATATCCGTTTGTTTGATGCAAGTCCTGATAAATACTGGTCAGTTGATATGTATTACAACTACCTCCCAACTGGAATGTGTATCTGGAGCCTTTAAAAGGAGCATGTTCTGTGTCTCAGTAATTCTGCTTCAAGGGGTATTGACCGATGCAGATATTTGTATAGGAAGATGCGAGTTTTTGCATGAAGCAAAAATCAAAGCCTTTTACATATTGACCAGTGGATTAGTTCCAATGATACTATGTCCATATGGGGATTGCTATTGGACCACTAAAAAGAGTGGTGTACTTTTCCATGGGGAAAGTCCATTGTATGCACATTATACCCAGTATGTAGGTAAAATGTCCCTAATACGCGTACCATGCACATAGCATGGGTTTTATAAAGAAAAGCATTTAGATACAACAGTAAAAGGTCTGTAGTAGCTAGTTGAGAATAGGAATGGTTTCCCTCTTCCAATTTTTCTACATTGAATGTGGATTATACTTAACGTGAATAAAAGTGATCTTCCTTAATAAGCTCAACAATTTCACTTTACGGTTTTTGCCTTACAGCATGTCTGAGAACTTACTCATAAGGATGTACATAAATTGCAAATAAAGCCTCACTTTGGAGGATTATAGTATGGAATCCTAGGTCACCTTAAACAAAAACCACTTTTATACCCAATGAAAGAAAAAACTCTCTTAACCTGGTAAGCTTTTTAGTTAAAGCATTAAGATCTGACTGCAATTTTAAAAATTATTTTTAAAATCTTGTTCATACATCTCTCAAAGCATTGGCACTACTTCTGAGCATTCGTCTTTTTTCCAGATTTAAGATTTTATTGTAAATTAAGCAGTTGTACCAACGTAGGAATGCTGATCTCTGAGTAGGTGAAGGGTAAGGCATCCAGAATCGGAGAATGTCCATGAGACGATCACGTTCATGGACTGAGAGGAGACCCTGTATTTTCTGCTGAGAACGCTTTCTCATGGGCAAGTTGTGACTGTCCAGGTCCGGTTTTACCCTCCTTTGTGATGCAGCTCAGTTGCACCCCTGGGGGTTTCTGATTAGGAGTGGGGAAGGGGAAGGCGGCTCTTTTTAGGCCACTGCCCTTCTACGTGAATATAAAACAAAATGAACCCCATTCTCCTTTGAGCCTTCTGCCAAGTGCCTACATGCAAGGTGATGTCCATCCAGTGGGTTCCATGTGCAAAAGAGAGGGAAGGGGCTGAGGCAAACAGCTTCTCTCCCCGGTGTTGTGAAGAGTGAGCCTGTGTTCCCAGATATTCAAGTTCAAGAGGTATCTGCTGTTGGGCAACCAATGCAGAGATTTGCTCTAAGCTCTTGCATGAGCCAAGCACCATGTCTGGACCAGCTTGAGCCCCAGAGACCACCAGTTTTCAGTCTTACCTGAGCCAGTGCCCCTCGCTTTCTAACTCGTCATCTTCCGATTTCCTGAATCTTCACCCACAGTTCGTCCAGAACCTGGACACATACAGTTCTAGTCTCCCTGTCAACTCTTTACCCCATTTTCAATCCTGGATGCTCTTGCTACAGGGAGTTCCTGAGATTGTAGGATCTTCATTGTGGTGGTTTATCACGTGTTCTTGCTACTTCCCTAAGCACTCAGAACCTAGTAGTCATTCTTATTCTAGTCATTACTGTCCTTGTGCTTCTTTGTCAGCCAGCATTTAGAGGAAAAGTCAAGGTCATGTGGAAGGAATTCCCAGCAGTAATGCCCACCCCCACCCCCTTCCTGCTGTGCTACTGACAGCAACTTTGGAAAGATGTATGGTTTTATAGCTTTATAGTCTCAGAGGAGGAGGAGGACTTAAGCTGGCATGCTGCCATTACTAGTGGCTCAGGCAGCTCCATTTTTTTTCTGGGCCTGTGCCTTCCTGAATACTCCACTAGAAGTCCCCACAACACCTTCCTTTCTTCTGGAAGCTGTGTGGTTTGTGATCTGGTTCTCAGAATCCAGCCTCCTTCATTGCTTTTGCTCCTTAGCTGCTTTGTGGTTCTACATTTCTTTGTCGAGCCTCTTAAGGACCACGTGGACATTTTCAATTCCTACTGGCTCTCTTCATTTGAGACTCTTGTCCAAACCACACCATTTTCCAAGGCATTTCCCCCTTGAATAGGATATGGGGGGGGGGGGTAGAAGTTTTCATTTAGTGTTCCCATAACAGAATTGGAGAATGTTTCTGAGATGCAGCCAGATATAAGAACCTACAAGCAAATGTGAGATTAAAAGAAAGAACCCTGGGTGGCGCAGCGGTTTAGCGCCTGCCTTTGGCCCAGGGCGCGATCCTGGAGACCCGGGATTGAATCCCACGTCGGGCTCCCGGTGCGTGGAGCCTGCTTCTCCCTCTGCCTGTGTCTCTGCCTCTCTGTGTGTGTGTGTGTGTGACTATCTAAAATAAAATAAATAAAATAAAATAAATAAAATAATTTAAAAAATAATAAAAAATAAATAAATAAAATAAATAAATAAAATATAAAAAATAAAAGAAAGAAACGGGGTCCGGCTTTGCCTTGGCTTTTGTTCTTGAATGGCTTGTTGGTCCTCTTGCTAATAACACTGGGCTTTAAAAAAATAAAGATTTTATTTAGTTATTCATGAGAGACATGACACAGAAGAGCCTGACTCAGGACTCGATCCTGGGTCTCCAGGATCACACCCTGGACTGAAGGCAGCACTGAGCCACCCAGGCTGCCCAGCACTGGGCTTTAATCTTTGTGACCATCACCTGTGGACTCCGCTGCCATGATGAGACTGGAAAAACAAGGAGCAAAGAAGAGATTCTAAGGAATATTGACGATTAGAATCCTGAATATAGTTACAGGCAGATTTGTTAATTGCTTCAATAGCCAGTATATAGTTGATTAAACAACTCGCTGGGTCAGTGTATCCGATGTGTCCTGCTGGTCAGTGGCCCTCTAAGAGGGGAGTGCAAAAAACTGTCCTAGTGCTGACTAATGAGGTCTGGTTTGAGGTGACTTCTGTCAAAACTTAACATTCCATCTTGTTTTTCTCCTCCCCCTCACCTCACAGGATGTTGCTTCAGAGTGTGAAGTCAAATGCATGCCGACCTTCCAGTTTTTTAAGAAGGGACAAAAGGTAGGTACATCTGACCTTATATCCAGCTGGGCAGTAGGAAAACATGGTATAAATTAAGATACTGAGGGGACTTACCCCTTCGCATGGAGAAGTCTATCCCCATTTTCTACTTTATTAAATAGGTCATTCTTGATTCAGTACATGCTGGGACATCTGCAAATTGATCTTTGTTAGAACTAGTCACTAATCCCGTGATTGGTCCTTCATATTTGTAAAGTACATTTATTTTTAAGACTGAGCTACAATTTCTCCCTCAGACTAAGGGGGCATGGGGAGAGGGGAGAAAACAAAACCCTAGTTTTTAACAAAATTTGGATCTCTGGGCAACTACCAGTTCTTTCAAGTAAGATTATACTTGCTCTCCCTCTACCCTCCCCCTATTTTACCCCATTCTGGGATATCTCAGTCACAAAATAAGGAGACAATGCTGTATCTAACCACAAATCAATATTTCCTTAACAGGTGGGTGAATTTTCCGGAGCTAATAAGGAAAAACTTGAAGCCACCATAAATGAATTAATCTAATTACATTTTCTGAAAACATAACCAGCCCATGGCTGTTGAAAACTTGTAATTTTTTTTATTTACAAAAAGGAAAGATCAAGTATGAAGACTATATACCCAACTACCATCTGATTATAAGTGACAATAAAATATTAATTCTACCCTTTTTAAAACTAGTGTCTTGGAATTGCTTTCAGAATAAATGAAAAGCCAATTGAGAACATTTAATGTCCTGATTTCATATGCTGATAACTTTTTAGTAACCTTGAGGTAGCAGTTCTTCATGGTTGGTTCACAAGGAAGCTCTGTAGACATTACCATGGGAGTTTTGATTGTTTCAAACTATCTTAAACTGGTTTTAGAGGCCAGATAGACATATACTAACCTAAGTGGTAAAGTGTGTGGAAGTTACAGGCTATTTCACTAAAGAACGTTAAGGGTTTCATAGGTCAAGATTATAGGATAGAGAACCTAGAAATAAACCCACACATGTACCCAGTGTGTGACAAAAGATGCAAGTGTATGCAATGGAGAAGAGATAGTCTCTGGTAAATGATACTGGGAAAATTGGACAGCTGCATGAAAGACCTGAAACTAGGTCACTTCTTATACCATATACAAGAGTAAATCGATTAAAGACCTAAATGTGAGAGACCTGAAAGTTTAAAATTCCCAGTACTCTGACATCAGCTCTAGCAACATTTTTCTAGATGTGTCTCCTCAGGCAAGGGACAAGAAAAGCAAAAATAAACTGTTGGGACACTACGCCAAACTAAAAAGCTTTCGCACAGAGAAGGAAATGAATAGAAGGCAAACTGCTGAATGGGAGAAGATAATTGCAAATGAAATGCCCAGTAAGAGGTTGATAGTCCAAAATATAAAGAACTTCAACTCAACACCCGACAATCTGATTTAAAAAGGCAGCAGGATCTAGACGTTTTTTCCAAAGACGACACAAATTGGCCAGCAGACACTTGAAAATTCTATCACTTATCATCTGGAAATGCAAATCAAAACCACAATGAGCTCCCACCTCACACCTGTCAGAATGGCTGTAATCAAAACGTAAAGTGTTAACAGGGATGTGGAGAAAAAGGAACCCTTGTGCACTGCTGGTGGAAACGTAAATGGTGCAGCCACTGTGGAAAACTGGAGTTTTCTCAAAAAATTAGAAATAGCAGGTAACCTGGCAATTCCATCGCTGGGCATATTACACACAAAGCATTGATTTAAAAAGATCTATGCACCCATATATTTATCGCATTATTATTTACAATAGCCAAGTGTTCAGTGATAGATAACTGGATAGAGATCTGTGTATACACATAGGGAATATTAGTCATAAGAAAAAATGAGATCTTGCCATTTGCAACAACATGAGTGAGCCTAAAGAATATTTTGCAAAATGGAATAAGACAGTAGTACCATAGGATTTCCCTTATATGTGAAATCAGAAAACAAAAACAATCAGTCAAACCTGTAAGTACAGAGAACTGTTGGTTGCCAGGGCTGGTTTGGGGGTGGGGGATAATAAATGAGCAAAATGGGTGAAGGGGAGGGAAATACAAGTGTCTATAGAATGAATAAGTCACAAAGATAAAAGGTACAGCATAGGGAGCATGATCAGTGGTATTCAAGGGTTATATGACAATAAATGGTAACTACACTTGTGAGCACAGAATATATAGATTTGTCAAATCACTATGTTGTACATTTGAAATTGTAACATTGTGTATCAACTGTGTTTTTAAAAAATTTTTAATGGGAAATAAATCCAGAATGTAACAAAAAAGGTGTTTTTCATGTTTTAGACAGAGCAAAGGATTAGAGGTGTAAGAAACCGTTTTTAAATTTGTGTAATGAGTCTTAGAATTACTCATATGCCCTGCACCATCCTTATGTTACTTTCAACAACAATCCTAGGTGGGTACTGTAATCCCTTTGTTCCCCAAAGAAACAGATCAAGAGAAGTTAATTTCTCCAGTGTCGCACTAGTCAGAAGAAGACTTGAACCAAGGGAGTCTGGAACCCATATACATACTCTCAACTGCTATACTACCTACCAGTTAGCTGACCTAGGAAAACAATGAGCCCTTACCTAGATTTCTTTCCTCATCTCGGGAAGAAATGGATGCTAAACTTAGATGATCTCTCAAAATCAGTATTCTGTGCTAGATAGCACTATAGCTGTGAATAAGACACCCTTTCCATAGAGCTTATTTTCTAGAAAGGAAGGCAAACTAGTGAATGGGAGCCTAGTGTATCCTAGGAGGCCGAAACAAATGGGCACAGTAACAGAATAGGGAGACTTGCTTTGGGTTGAGAGGTTGAGGAGTGAAAAGGACTCCAACATGCAGAGAGGCAGGGAACCCAGTACAGCAGAGAGAAAGGCACACACAAAGGCTCTGAGTCCAGAAAAACCTTGGTGTATCAGGACCATCAAAAGCATGAAACAGCTGAATACAGTGGCAGGGCCCCATAACCTAAGGCCTCCCTTACAGGTGCAAAGGGAAGCCACTGTAGGGTAAGCCAGAGATAATGTGTTCTGGTAAGAATCCATTTTGGCAGCTGTATAGAAAAGTGGGTTGGAGGAGACTTAGCTGGAAACCCAGTTAGTATTTTCATTTATGCAGCCCAGAAGTAGTGATAGTGGGGATTGGAGGATGGTGGGTAGGTGTCAAGGATGGGACAAGATGTGTGGGCTCAATAACACGAGAGAGAATCCAAGAACTTGTGTGCATAGGATTTTAGGGTAAATCCCCAAATTTTTGGCTTGATTAACTGAGTGTCTGGAGTACCATGCAATGAATGAGAAAAGTTGGCAGAAGTAGATCAGGTTCTCTCTAGAGATGTTAAGAGAGATGCTTCACCAGCGTGCAGCTAAATGAAGAGGTGTTACAGGCTGCTGAATACTAGTCTAGAACTCAAAGGACAGGTCCGGACTGGGATAGGAATTTGGAAGACATGCCAACGCCTCAATGACCTGTGTGTCTAGATGGCTCCTAAAACCAGGAATCTAGATCACCCAGGAAGATAATCTGGGGTGAAAAGGGCTCAAGACAGCCTGGAAAACTTCCAACATTTTAGAGACTAAGTAGAGTAGGAGCCAACAAGAGACCATCGTTTTTCTCCTCACCTGGCCGCAGGTTTTGTCCTAAAAGCAAAGAGGAGAACATTTCAAAATGAAAGGTATATCAATTATCAAATGCTAAAAAATGCTGACACGCTAAGAAATAGAGGACAACATAACAGAGGTGGTGATGGTGACAAAATTAATAAATCCTATGGGAAAATAGGGTAGAAGCTAGATTGGGGAGAAATGAAGAGATTAAGAGATGACTCAGAAATCGCACTGCTCAATGTAAAGAAGAATGTCCAGGGATGATTGTTATAGGATTGTTTATAGCAGCTTGAAACTGGATCTCTATCAGTAGTGGAATTGTTAAATTCATTATGATGAAGCCTTTCAAAGTAATATAAAATAAGGAGCTATTGATTCTGAAATAGGAAAATATCAAAGTCACTGAGTAAAATATATATGTATATATTCTATATATAGTAGGATTCTGTACAGATGAATCCTATTTTCTATATACATATACATATTCTATATGTATATATATGTATATATATGTTCTACAACTTGCTTTTCTTTTAGTAGAAAATAGTAGGAGTCATCTGTACAGAACATTAGACATGCTAGCTATCTATAGGTAAATCTGTATGTAAGTTACCAGGACTAGATCTCTGAGGAAATATTTCTAATTATAGCAGGGACTTCTGGAGAAGGAGGGTAGGTAGAGATTTTCTTAGTTTTATCTGTAAATGTTTTAACGTATCATAACAAAAATGGGTTATAGGCTTCTGACTTTTGGTTTTGGCTCATACCATGATCTCAGGGTCATGAGATCGAGCCCCATGTCTGGCCCTGTGCTCAGTGTGAAGTCTTCTTAGGACTCCCTCTCCCTCTGCTCCTTCTCCCCTGTGCTTGCTCTTTCTCTCTAAATCTTCCAAAAAAAAATAATAAGTGAATAGAATGTAAAGAAAGGGAAACAATTTGTAAGACTCGTGAGAAGTTTTGTCCTAAAGTAGAGCTGAGATGTGGGGTTAATAAATCCTTTGTGTTTAAGATAACAGGTTTGCTAGCATGCAAATGGAAATGCTGTAGAGGTAGAGATTGATTTCGTAGGAAAAAAGGATACCTGAAAAAAGGAATTCCTTGTGTAGTCAACAGAGAATGGGATTTGGAGTACAGAAGAGACGAGTCTTGAATAAGAGGAAAGTTATTTCTTTCCACCATAACCAGTGAAATAAAGATGGGTGTATGAGCACCTAAATATGTAAAACAAGTTTTAACAGACCTAAAGAGAAGAGAGAGCGATATAATAGGGGGGACTTATATCAGTGGATGAACCATCCATACTGAAATAAAATTAAAAGAAAACATTGGCCTCAAACAACACATTAGACCATATAGATAGGTTATATAGCACGTTTCATCCAAAAGCAACAGAACACATTTTTCTCAAGTGCACATGGAACATCCTCCAGGATAGATCATATTAGGTCACAAAACAAGTCTTTAAGAAGACTGAAATCATGTCAAGCATTCTCTTCCAACTACAGGGATATGAAGATAGAAATAATTTATGAGAAAACTCTGTATGTGGAGATTAAACAATGGGTCAATGGGTCAATGAAGTCAGAAGAGAAATACATTGAGACAAATGAAAATGGACTATAAACCAAAACTCATTAGGACAGAGCAAAAACAATTCTAAGAGGAAAGTTCATACTGCTAAATGTTTACTTCAAGAAAACAAAAATCACCATTTAACTTTATACCTCAAGGAACTAGAAAAAAATGAACGATGCCCAATATTTAGGCATAAACTTGAGGTAAGCGAAAACTAAAACCATGTACTCTGAAAGCTAAATCATGAAATTGAAGATTATATAAAAAAAGGAAAGATATTCCATGCATAGATTGGAAGCATTGATGTGGTTAAAATGTCCATACTACCCAAAAGCAATCTAGATCCAATGCAATCCCTGTCAAAATACCAGCTTTATTATTTATTTATTTATTTATTTATTTATTTATTTATTTATTTATTTATTTTACAGAATCAGAACAAGTTATACTAAAATTTGGATGGAACCATAAAAGACC